CGGTTGACCGGTTATATTTTTATTCTTTCGTCGTTCCTTTCCGTAGGTACCTGTTCTACACTTTTAGAGGTTATGGTTTTGCGCGCGTAAGTTCCACGGCGACGGCTGAGCACGTTTTGTCACCTAATCTAGTCGATCTAAGGAGAAAAGATACGGACAAGCCGACGATGAGATAGGTTGTTATTAATTCTTAAACTATTCGTTTTTGATCTTACATAATAAAATTAGATGCAAGAAAATTTTATCTGAAAAAAATACAAGTACAATTTGGATTTGAGGATTTATTATTTTTTAACTTTATTCCACTGGCCACTGGGCACTGAAAAAAGTGAACATTTTGATAGGTTATACCCAAATTATGATTTAAAAACCTTAGTAGATCCCTCTAGTAGCTACTATGTAGATGAGCTTATGATGAAGATATGAGTTAGTATCAAATAGTTATTAATAACTTTCAGTGTATACTGTTTGGGACTATGACATTGTGGGAGTTACAACTAACAAACTAAAAATAATTAATTGTAATGTGTTCATCGGTAATGTACTAATGTGTATGATCAATGATTGTAATTTATAGGTGGATACCAATTATTTAAATTTAAAAATGAGAAATGTTTATTCCAATGAATGCATTTTTCTAGTACTTTCAAGTTAGTAAATTTTCCTTATACTTCAGTCGTGCCTGAATATGTTTCTCTAGTATTTTTTACTTAGTGTATAACGATTACTAAGTAATTTAGTAATTTAATACATTAATAATATTATGCTGCACTCGCAGAAATACTCAATTTGAGGAATTTTAAGCGTTATCAAAACCCATATAATTTCAGGACAGCTAACGGCATTATATTAGGCTTAAAACTATATAGATGAAATACCATGTTCGAGTGGATTATTATTTATTATTATACCACTCTAATGTCTATTGCCTACAAGACGGGGAACTTCCTGTTTTCTTGTTTTCCTGTTTTTACGAGTTCGCGTTATGTACTATTGAAGTGTATTATATTATTATGTAGGTATACAATAATTTCATTCAATTTATTTTTTTACTGTTATTTTTTAATAGTCATTGTTTAAAAATTATTTTTGTTGCTTCTATCAAGGTAATCATTTTGTTTTATTTAATATCCATATTATTACATGATAATATACGTCAGGGTATGGTGTTAATACCGTTAACCGAGATTTGCGTTTGATTTCCACGGGTTTCCTATTTTTTTTTAATTCGGATCAGTCAACGGAATTGTTGTGACTTATATAAACAAATTATATTAACAATTGATATAATTATACTACATAGTACTTTAGAGTTTGGAATCAATAAGTACCTGCAGTATTTTATTTTTGATGTGAAATAAACAACGGCAATAACATAGGTAGGTAATGTTATATATTCCTTCACTCATTTACTTCGCTTTCGGACAATCTCTGATTTCGTAAACCATATTATTATGTACATTTGCACTTGTAAAGTGATTTATGAGAATATTAAATCATAAAAAAACCAAATAAGGGAAAGAACAATAAACTTCCTGGTTCCTATAAACATAATTTATGAATAGGTATCATTGTATCAAATTATAAATAATACCAATAATCAATAATTGTGCTATAATTTTAGTATTATTTCCTAATCAGATTAAAAGCACGTGTTTAAATTTGTATTACTTAAACGATTAACATATCTAATAAAAACATGATAAAATGTAGGTACTTACTAGCTATTATTTGAAATATATAAGCTTATAAATATAATATATGTATAATGTATATGTATGTATTTGAAATATATGTATGAGTTGAATAAAAGCATTACGTTTTATAATAATGTGCATTTCATTATTTCAATAAGACAAGGTAGCAAATTATTTTCAATGATTTTCATTTAGGATTAAATAAGTCTGATTAAAGTAGATTATATGTCATGGATACCCAAAAATATTACTTATAAATCAATATGGTGGTAACGAAAGTCGCCGTTATATAGAATGATACTACAAGAAAATTATTGGTACCGATATTACTATAGGTAACAAATATCTGTAGAACTTGAAAATGATTGCTTATTGACATTGGTCTCCAGAAACACCAAATATACGGTTAGATATAATAAAGGTCTTTTCATGGACTTTGACTGAATCGTTTGCTACATTTAATATATTGTACGTCCGGTGACGTACCATAGGTAATCTGCAAGGAGTTCGTAATAAATAATAATACAATATTGTATTAGAAAGTTCTTATTTTGTATCACACTATCGCAAAGATAATACCTAAACATGAGAATAAACATAATACTATAATCATGATGAGAAAAATCCCACCATGCAGAGCCAAGAAATTATTTGTTTTACAAAATACGTTAAATTAATAGAAATTAATTTAGTGTTGAGTATGTAAGTGGACTCAGAGGCTATATTATGTACATATATTATTACTTAATTACAATGTATGTTTATACTCGCAGTAACTACATATATAGGTCATTAAAAAGTATAAATAAAACGTAATTCCACGGGAACAGTTTAATATCACACGTATAGTGTTCATTTCAGATTTGAATAAACAAAGTTATTTTTTCAAAGACTCAATATTGGAAAGGGATTGAATTTCAAATCTATTTTTAGATTAATAAGTTGATGTTGATTACCCATCTTAGTTCCAACAATCTGAACTTTAAACTTTTAAAACTGAAAAACCATTATAATTAGATAATAGAATATTAAAAATATAGATTGAAACAAATAAAAATACACGATCATAAGTCATATCTAAAGGTCTTAAAAATTATTTCAGTAAGTTCGATGAACTTTTCTATACTTGAACCAGCACAAAAATCTAAACCATACGTATTATTTTTCTAGTGTTGGTGAATTAATACAAATTCCTTTATCAGAATTTAGAATTACTTTTTTATAAATTTCGATTCTGGGAATATTGACGATATTGATCATTTTGAAATATAAAATACGAAAATATTATATTATATGAGTGAAATGACGAATGGAACCCACGATAATTTTGATATTGACACCTATACAGAATATATAAAATGATGAAATAAATAATATTAGATTAGCTTTAATATCAAAATGAATAGATAACAATAAAAAACAGATAGTATTGTTTTATAAATTAATACAGTGAAATCGTTTTTATCGAAGTGAAACTATAAATATGAATAAAAATGTACATATTTAATCAATAACACTTCTTCAATGGCTTGAGATTTCCCCTTCCAATGTGTGTAACAGGTATATGTGAGTAATTTTTTATGATCATATATTTTATAATTGATCTCACTACCTATTCGATGTAACTAATACCTGTATAATAATATTATACAACCAATGAACCAAATAACTGTAAAACTGTATAATATTATAATTATTGTCGAATAATAAAGGGCGTTAGTTTTATAATATTATTTTAAATACGTAATATAAATTTAAAGATAATATTACAATAGCATAATTACATTTGAGACATGTTTCGATATTCTATATATATTATACATTTTACATTTATATATTATATCATACAAATACAATAACTGGTAGGATCCCTCCATAGACCATTCAAAGGAACACTGTAGAATACTCGCTGTTTTCGTGATATAGGACTACCTACACTTTTTTCTTAGGAAGTATTCGGTCCTTTCTAGGTCAATCAGATCGTATACACTATAGACACATATTATAATATATACCTACCTAGGCACTTACCTATATCGTGACTTTCTTTTTGAACCTTTAACCTTAAGCGCTTTTAAATTTTAAATAGTGGCATGTTTACGATATATTTTACATGCCTATAAATATGTTTGACGTTAAAATACGAAATTATCCGCACTTAAATAATTGTGTATTGTACAATATGTATTTTACTTGTACTTGTAATCATATATCTATGTTATAGGGTACATCGTACATGTATAAATTATGTATACACCATCATAATATATGATTATTGTCCATAGCCGGCATGCGCACTTGTGGTGTACCTATACTAATACAAAGTTTTTATATACTTGATAATGCGTGTACATGAGGTTCCTATATTAAAATATGTTAGTTTCAATTTTTTTTTGCACGCATTTAGGTATGTATTATGTGGTGCAATAAAATAATAAAACGGAATGAATATTTAAACATAATTTGTGAGCTATCTTTACACGAATTAAATTACTCGACAGCGCCCAATGCTGCCTACCTAATCGATATAATAATAATAATGTGCGTATCGCAATTTTCAATAACATTATTTCAAAGTGGTTTGGATTAATCGTAATTATTAATACAACATGAAATAGATAAACACTAACTATCACTCTATCAGCTTAAAAAATACATTAAATACTGCATACAATTTACCATATTAAAATCAAATTCGTAACTATGACAGTGGATACTGGATAGTACTACGAGAATAATTGATACATTAAGCAGTTTAATGGAAAAACAATAAATAGGCAAAACAAATATATTTTCTACACTATTATTATATTATAATATGTTACACATAATAATACTATATCGATAATCGATAGCGTTCAATTGTGTGTATATCATTATATTATCTACCACTTGATACCTAGTAAATTATACCAATGCATAAATTCTTACTTTAGTAACCTATTTGTTTAGTTTTTCTAATTTATATATTTATTATGAAGCGCATACTATAAATCACTGTAGGTATTTGGTATACAGTACTCTGATTTATACCAATTATTTATCAATAAATACAGAACATTAAAATAATTTATACTTATAAAAAAAATATATTATTTTTATTATATTAGAATACATATTCAATTGTATATACTATTTTATGTACACTTATTTCGAATTCGAAGAACGTTAAATACATTTTTAATCTGGAATATAAAATATACAAATAGTATAAAATTACCAACTTTAATTCATTATAATTATGTAATCTATAATAATTACCTAATGTACAATTTATTTTATTAATAAAAATGTTTAAAAATATTTATTTGAAAACAATAGACGAATTTACTTGTAATTATTTTTTTGTATGGTTTAGGAAATGATTAATAAAAAAAGTGCAAGTTTAAATTAAACTTTAAGAATAGCACGTTTAACAGATCAGTCTAATTATTGGCATTGGCAACAATTGAGCCCGAGAAGTCGTTCGTCTTGCTGTAACCGGATACGACAGTAGTATTATCGGTAGTGCTATTTCCGGATACATCCACCTCCTCTTCGGACGATAGGTTGTCCAAATCGTGACTCTGCGAGTTTGACTCGGCCACATCTACGAAAGTCGCACTCAATTCACCCGACAATTTGTTGACCTGATTGTGTGTCACGTCATACATGTAAATTTCCTTTCCGTTTTCCTTACCATTTGGCCTGAAAAATTATTATTTTAAATTATAGCTGAACCACATTTTAATAAAAATACGATACATTGTATGTTGCTATTTAATCCGTTTATATTTTATCAAGTTAAAATAAAAAACGTAAATGTTATGTTCACCCCCTAAATAATCAACCTACGTCATACCTACATCTTATAATTCGTATACATATTACATAATAATATACATCAGCGATATTGGAGATATTAAATTGTGTATTTGTCACCAAAGATATTAAGATAATAATAAGTTATTACAATAAATTATTTAGTTATATTTATATTGTTGGACCTTTGTTTGTTAGTATATGAGATGTTTGATAAAAATTGATGTACCTACTTATAAAAAATTTGTATTATTACTTTTTTTATGTTTTGCTAAATCAATATTGAAAAAGTGTTTACTTGAAAATGTTATTTAAAAATTAACAATAATATTTAGGTAGGTAGCTAAACAGTAATAATTTAATCACTATACTCACTTAGTAACCAAAAGTACGACTGACTGTTCTTCAGATGGTGTACTTTTTTCTTTCTCCAGCCAGATTTTGAAATTTTCTCTATTTGGGTCTTTAACAAGATTTTTCACTATATCACCAACAACAAAGTGGACTCCTTTCACTTTAACTGCGGCATTCCTAGATGATCGGGACTGGTCATCTGACAAATCGTAGCTCACTGGTGATAATATAACTACACTTCCGATGGCTCTGTTTTTCAACAACGGCGAGTCGGGTATTGGGAAATGAGTACCGTTAATGTTCAATGGTAAAAAACGGTTATATCCGGTGTCGTTTAAGACGACCGGGTCGAGAGTTTGAGACTTGGGTCGGTCGATGTATGTGTTTTCGATTTTTCTCCCTTCTTCTGTTGAAGGATCGTACTTGACGACTTTCATTTGGACATTAGATTTATTCGGCGGTAGGACTACCGAAGGTATCGGAGCGCTACCTTGGCCATATAAATTTTCCAAAGCTTCGGGTGGTAAATTTTCAATTGGTATATCACCCACTTTATCGTAGTCTAATATTTGAATGTCAGCGTTGCTAAGGATTCCCGAAGAAAGGAGCTGTTCCCTCAATTCATCAGGAACTTCGTCTGGAAGCGAAGCGATGTTTTTGAAATCTGGTTTTTTGGTCTCATTTTTAGTTGCTTCAGTAGTAGTTGATTTGGGAGTCGCCACTGTAACAGTTGGTGTACTGCGTTCTTTGTACTGCGTCGTTACAAACGATGCCGGTTTTTCAGTTGTTTTTAAGATTGATTTACTTGTCGTGTCTACGGTATTTTTTATTGTACTTGGACTTAACTGTTCATTGTACTCTTGCTGTTGAACATTAAACGAACTTTGTTGTTGGTTTGATACTTGCCAGGGGCTATTGTCGGGACGGAAATAATTTTGTTCTGTTTGTGTTGATGGTTGATACCTATTATATGTTTCGATAAATTGTCCAGATTGTGCCGGTTGCTGATTTGGTTCGAGTTCAAAACTATTTGATGGAGTAATTTGGAGTTGTGGAATTTCTGACGGTTTTAATTCGGGGATAAACTGCTGTTGTTTTAATGTTTGATACTGTGAAATTTGAGAAGTTTTCACTTCTGGTGAAAATTGCTGTTGCTTAATTATTGGCTGTTGCTGAAACGACGTTGGATTATTGTTGATTGGTGGCCGCGTCTCGGATGGCCTAAACTGTTGTTGTTGCAACTGTTGTTGTTGAAATTGTTGTTGTTGAAATTGTTGGTGCTGCTGCTGTTGCTGTTGTGGAGAAAAGGCCAAATCAACTGAATGTTTCGTACTTGTTGGATGAGTGTTAAAATTGGATGGATGCGGCGGTAATGGATTAGTCGGTCGTTTATCGATCGGTACAAATGATGGATTAGGATTTAAAGGTATATTATGTGGAGTTGGAGGCTTGCTTGGTCTGTAATTAACTGTGCCTTGATTTTGTCTATTATCAAATGGTCTATTTTGAATTGGCCGATTCTCAAAGGGTCTGTCAAATATTGGCCTATTTTCAAAATTACTGTCTAGGATGGGGCGACTTTCGAATGGCTTGCTGTCAAAAGGTCGATCTTGTATAGGTCGGCTTTCAAACGGTTTACTTTGAGTTGGACGATTTTCAAAAGGCTTACTTATAAATGGTCGTTCATTATTTGTTTTGATTTGTACAGGTCTTTCTTGGAAATGACCTGGATTTCTAAGAGGGAGGTTCGATTGAAAATCTGATGGTTGTCTCGGTTGATTAATGAACTGTTGATGATTTTGTTGATGATTTTGTTGATTGTTAAACTGTTGATTGATTAATTGTGGGCGATTTTGTTGATTAATTACTTGTTGGTGATTTTGATGGTTATTAAATTGTTGATGATTTTGTTGGTTTGTAAATTGTTGATTGTTTTGAGGGTTATTTAATTGTTGGTGGTGTTGTTGATTATTTGATTGTTGATGATATTGTGGGTTACTTGGTTGTTGATGATTTGGCAAGTTATTTAACTGCTGATGATTTTGTTGATTATTAAATTTCTGATTATTTGGTGGATTTGTCAACTGTTGGAAATTTGGCTGGCTATTTGATTGCTGGTAATTTTGTTGATTTCGGAAATTATCTATTGGTCTTTGTTCAGCAATTCCTTCAAAATTATTTTGTTGAGGTTTAAATTGTTGATTTATGATAGGTATTTGACCTTGGAAATTTGGACGGGGATTATCCTCACGGAAGTAATTTTGTACCTGTTGGCTAGGTTTTTTCAACTGCTGTTGAGGGTGGTCAATACTTGGCTTTGGAGTATTAAATCCATTAAATTGAGGTTGATTAGTAATATGTGGAGTTTCAAAATTATTGTTACTTCGTTGATAATCTGAGTGCTGTGTGGGTTGAACAAAACTTCTTTTAAACTCATGATCGGTTGATTTTTTAACTTTATTTTGAATTTCACTTGCTTCACTAATAGAGTCTCTCTTTTGTGCTTCATTTATTGACGGGCTCCAGTCCGATTCAGTCTTTCCAAATGTTACTTTAAGACCCGTTCCATGATAAATTTCAGAATCTGGTTTTATAATTGTTCTATACGTAGTACTAGGAGCCGGAGGTCCCGTAACATAATTATAAAGAGGAGACGATTCCGTAGAGATTACCGTTTCACTTTCACTGATGGCCTCGGTACTAGGCGTTATTGCAGGCACAGGTGCTTCATATATGAGGTCTTCTTTATCACCATACGAATTCGGATTTTTTTTATATTTTACGTAAAAAACTTGAACTGGTTCTTTCTGTGGTTTTGTTATAGGAACAGGTGGCGGTGTTGGTGGCGCTGGAAGTGACTCGTTAGATTCTTTTATTATAATTTCAATAATTGGTTCCGGTTCCTTGTAATAGTCTGGTTGATACGGTGCACCGTACACTGGGTTAGGTGGACCGTAATTTGACGATATTCCAAATTCAGACCCACTTGCGTGACTATCAAAGTCGATTTTTGATGTAGCTGAATGATTTGCATTTGTATATAGTGGATCCTGTTGCGAGTAATGCACCATGGGCTCCATTTTTACGGCATATGGTGGAACAGAACCTTGTTTGTTTTTCCATAAATTTGAGTTTTTATCCCACCCTAAAGGCTGTTGGTGTTTAGGCCTATCTGCTATAAGTCTTGTCTGGTCGACATTTCTCAAACACAGTGCACTGGCCGTCAACGTGATCAGCAAGCAGACCTAAAAATATGTTATATAATTACGTTATTATTAGGTAAAACAATAAGCAAGAGAAACGATTCGAGACTGACGCGTTAATTATATAACAGATATTTTAACGGTCGTTCCATCGTTTAAACGACCGATTAAGATTATCCGGTGCAGTAACTACTATAACAAGGGAAGACCACGAACAATGGTGATCTATAGTGTGAATGATGAAAAAAATTCCTTAAAAAAAAGTGAGCAAAAAGACAATGAGAGAAAACCGTGCGAATTCTTTACAACTCAAATTAACAATGGTCAAATTGTTGAAGTCCTGGAAAATATCTCTGACATCACTTGGAATAGTATTTCCCGTATTGTCATGATGGTGTAATTTTGATGATGTTACATTTACCCAAAACTGGACATAATGAATTAAATAAAAATATAAACAATAGAAAAGTATTAGTATTTTTTTTAAATGTTTAAATATTTAAATATAACTAACTGTAAGTATTTATTACGCAAGTGAAATATTTTGCAAATAATTGCAATTGGAAATTTTTAAATACACATTTTTATTTATAATCAATATTTTAGTCACGTTCCGTAAGCTTACGAAAAAAACAATTGTTTTCGATACTTTTATTATGCAACGACTATAGTTTATAACAAAATAAAATACTTAATTTAATTGAATTGAATATTAATTTCACACATTTCCTCAACGTACACATTCTGTTTGTGCAATAAAAACTTGTAATACAGCATAATATTATTTAAAATTAAATAAATAAATAAAATTACATTTTTTGGCGTTTAAAATGAGTTATGACTATTATGACTTAGTAATTAAATTTATTAAATTCACTGTGAATTAAGGCAACCATTCATAATTACTAACTATCCCTCCTCACTCTTATTTTAATTCATCCAGTATAATATATACAATACAATTTTTAGTTAGTTATGTATACGAGTTATTATGAACAATTAGATACTCAGTATTTATAATTATAAGAATATTATTATTAATTAGAAAGAAGTTTCTTTTTATTATGAAATGTTATCTTCTGAAACCATCAACTTCAAAAGTAATATATTATCTATTAAATAAATTATATTTTTTTTTAGGAATGTTTATGCTACCATACAGAATGTTTATTGTATATAAATATTCTTAGTTTATAATTAATTTGTTAATTTTGATTAAGTTAATTAATTTTATTATTCAATATAATTTTCCTAATTGTGCTATTATACATATTTTATATTATAACTTATAACTTATAAGTAAAAACATATAACACATTATACATTTTATTATTCAATAAAAAAAAAAAAATTGAAAATGCCTGCATACAATTTAAACATCTTGAAAATATCATTTAAAAGCATCACTATAATATAATAAATTATGTACCAATTGTCATAAAAGGTTATTAAAGTTATTTCACAGTTGTACTTACTTGCAGGAGTAGTTTTGGCTCAGCCATGGTTAATAGATCCAATGATTTGTCAAACTGATTTTAGATATTCTTTAAATGCATTATTTTAAAAATAAAATAGTATGGAAAAAAAATGTCTAAGGTTTAAAGCAAAGAGAACATCGCACGGAGCGCAACCGTTTGTCGCAATAGTTGGAAAGTGTATACGTAAAACAATAACACTTCTGTACGTATATTTAATATTACCGGTAACACAATTTGTTCACGGAAGGAGTTTTGACCTGAGCAACCGACTGTCGAAAACTGGCCACTTTCTTCTTGGGCGCGATGTTCACACCCGCTACTATGAGAGATGTCCATGGTCCCCTACCTAAACGACCTACAGCACCATTATTTTGATTTTTTTTCACGCATTGGATACTTTCGTTCGGAATGTTCGTGGCTAATCCACGATATTGTTTTCCTTCTTCTTCTTCTTTTTCCCCTTCAACAGCTGGTATATTATCCTAGTCACGGCGTCGGCGGTAGCGGTGGTTGCAGTGGTGGTGGCGGCGGCGGTGGCGGTGGTGGTAGGTATAGTGGTCGTAGGTGGAGGTTCTCTACATGGATAGCTAATAACACATGAATGTGAATCTTTATTTTTTTTGAAAGGCGAAGGGTCCGATTACTTTGTATTATTACACCCGATTGTTTCACTAGCATCATCATGTCGCCGTCGTTGTCGTAAACGATGCATTAATGGTCTTTCACTTTTTGTTGGGAACGACAATGCCATTCGAATCTTTCAATCATTTATCTTCTGTCTAAAAGAAATCTTAACGATTGGTATTCAGTTGATTTATTATATTAATTCTTTGGCCAGCCAGCTTTCGGGAGGAAGACAATATAATAAGTCGACGGAATTCACTGATGGCAGCCGAGTGCAGCTGCTTTTAGACATTATAGAAAAAGTTATTAAAACTCAAGATCGTATCGTTGTATCGTTTAATTGGCTTTGAGTTAATTAGAAGCATAGATCAAAATAATACCAAGGTACACTTTCTTTATAGTATCACCATTGTAATAACAGATACAATATATTGAATATGATATGTGTATTTTATTTGTTATAGCTGTTATAGATATTATTATAGGTACTAACCATATTGATTTTCGATTGAAATGTTCATTATATAGTTATATTGCGTTTAATGAATTATTTTTGTATTATAGTTACATGTATCTGCAGTAAATATACGATTGATTGAATAATCTCCGTTGAATGCATTTCTGTCATTTCAACAGGTTCCTGAACAACCGCGATAAAAATTAATAAATTAATAAAATATACTATATACTGTACATATAGGTACTGATAATATGATAACTTTCAAATCACATTCGTACAAAAATAAACATTTATATAATATTGATGTACGAAGTTTTACGTAACAATTATTACGTTTTATAGTACAAAAATAAACAGTAAAAAAAGTTTGTTTAAATCATTAACAGTAAAAATTAATGCTATACTCCCCGAGATTTATGTACATTGACACATTGTATATTCGATGATCATTTCAAAACATATGAATACTAATTATTATAAATCATATATAATACTATCGAAATCTGAGGTTAAAAAAATCCTCAATTACAAATATACCGACTATAGTATAATGTTATAGCCAAATTTATAATCGAAATTACAATCTTTCTGATTAAAACCGCGATTATAGAATGCACGTTTACAAATACATATAGGCACCTTCGGGTATATCGTATATGTCGTTTTAGTGGTTAAGACTGAAATTTTGAAAGCGAGGAAACACAAAATATGCGCACAATAAAGCCGCATCGTAAATGTTCAAATTGCCGTCTGCTAGTATATTACACTGTCTATAATATGAATGTAATGTGTGTCTGCATTAAAACACGCAATAGCTCGGTATGTACATAATGGTCATAATAATGTATAGTATAATATTATACACACGGGACACGGACAGAGAAATATAAAAAGTGATCAGCCATATACTATGTCAAATACTTACCTATTGAACATCGATGGATAATATAATACCTACAAGGTGTATATACGTATTATTATTATTATTGTTGTTGTTATTATGAAATAATCTATTAGTGTCAAATTATTATTATCGCCGAACGAGCACCCAAATTACATCATTATAATAATGTTTAAATTATGATTATGGCATCAGACTCTTATTATCTAGATATTACGTATGGCCTATTCAATTATTTTGTCTATTAGTACCTATATATTATTATTATTATTAGGTATCATAATATGTTAATATGACATATGTAGCTCGCTCGGTGCATAACAATCCACGTTACGCAGTTGCGCAACACATAGGGTAGTGTGGGATTTGGGGGATATAAACACCCCTTTCGTTGATCGTATCTCATTTTAAATATTCTGTGTGTAGCTATACAAAAATACTTCAGCAGGATATGAGGCTTAAGGGAGCGTCGAGAGAGCGCGGCTCGGAATGCCACCACGACCATCCGCCATCAAAACTGTTTAGATTGGAAGATTATGGTTTTTTTTTAAAATCATAATTCAAAATTTAAATATATATGTAAATAAAGATACCACTTACCCAGCTATATTTTATGCATGTCAAAAAGTTGACAATGAAATTTATTTGTGTAGTTTAAAGTTTTATTTTTATCGTGGATCAACAGTTCATAGTTGCAATACTATTTTTTGGAATACGTGACTGTACAGTACTGACTATTATTGAATCGTTGCTGTCATTAACTGATGCCATACTGTTGAATATTTGATCAGTGAATTAAACAACTTATTGGACTTTCCGGTGTTCTGTTTCTTACAAACATTTTTCAAAAAAAAAAATAGTACTTATAATGTGACAAATTAAACTTTTATGTGAAGTCAACAATTGTATGGAATATCGTTTATATCTACGTATCTATTGAAGGAATATATATTTTATTAAAATATTATATTGAATAGGTATCTACATATTTCAAATACATTTACTAGACTGGAACGGAAACTTTACATACCTAATCATCACCAGTACACCACTAAAACTGTTGGTCGTAATTGGTATTATCCTGATTATAACTCCACCTAACTTACTTATATGAACTTATTATTATTAATTATAATACGTAATTAAAATATGCATATTGTATGTTAATTAATTATAGTTTATGGTGCAATTTTGAAAGGTTTCACGGTTCCTTGGCTCGTTCTCTATATATGACTATATGGCTGGTTATACAACGATATGCTTTTTTTTTAACAAAAGGTAATAAAAGTGGTGAAAAAATGTTATTTATAAAGGCAATCAAACACATTCTATATCGGATCTGTATTTTAGGAATGAAGTTTTTTTTTAACTTTATCAATATAATATAAAAACCCCACGTGCAGAAAACATGTACATTTACGGTACATTATCGCTTTCAACAAATCTTGATTATTTCAATCAACGATCTGTATGCTTTTTTTTGATCATTTATCATTTCGTACTAGAACGTAAATCTTTTAAAAATAATAATGGAACCGGAACCATCTTTTTTGATTTTCTGATCTGATTTTGATCAAACCAAAATTCATAAAAATCAACCTCTGCTTTCAATTGAAAATTTAAAATATCTAATTGAAAAATAGAAATTCAGCATTCAACAATGAATGCTGTCTGCATGCACCTTGTACTTACCGAGTAGTAAGAAGACGATACCTCTATAGATTCTAATCACTGGGTCAGTGGCACAACAGGCACTAACATTTCCTTACTGTATTTGCATGATTTTAGCTTATCATTATACAAAAATATTGAAAACAAAATATGTAATTTATATACCAATAATTAATAATAATAAACGTTCGGGTTTATGTAGTTCACTGCGCCGCAATTATTAAATGAATTCCAGTTGCGCCACTTCTGCAGCAGCAGTGTTATAATTAATTATAAGTATTACTGTATTAGTATATACACTATATTACATATTAGCATCATAATGTAATATGATAAAATGCCTGCACAATAAATACATTTATGTTTAATGTTTTGTTGTTGTACATTACAATATAAATACACATTATACAGAATGTGGTAAAGTTAATGAAAAATAAAAATGAACATTAGTTAACGTTCAGAACGTTAAGTTCTAAGTTAGAAGTTATCAAAAAAAAAATTAATTAATTTTTTTTATTACTATCTAAATCACACAATAGTAATCGTTAAATTTTCATTATTATTTTTTAAATAACTTATATGATTTAAATAAAAATGGTCTTTTAATTGCAATTAATTGTTTTTCTACTCTTCCTTTTTATTGCACACTGTAGTGATTTAGGAAAATTATATGTTTATATCTATTGAATGGTTAAACCAGGAAAAGCTAATTGTTTTAATTTAATTTGAAATCATTTTCAACAGCTTTATTGAACAAATTTTATTTTTAATTTTAACTTAAGTTTGCACATACACTATTTTAACTAACTGAAACTAACTGAAAAAATACATGTTATTACAATAAATAGCTCTATGCACCAATGATAAATATTATTTATGGGTAGTTGCAGCTATAATAGTTGAGCTATTAGTAATATATGTTTAAAATCAAGCACGTTGTTCCGCATATCGTATGACTTATATACAACATTATGAGTCTAATATATAGCAATAAGTACATTATTGTGATGAATATAATGGTATGTGTTATAAATTTCGGTTCACACAAGACGTATATAATTATTCACCGGTCACCGAGCACACTTCGTAACTATTCTTATTATTTATATTTCTCACTATAACATTCCTGCAGTAGACCATACTTGCAGCCGTTATATCATCAATGCAACACACAGGATGTTTCAAAATCTTTTTTCTTCCCGGACAAGCTTATTGGGTATTATTTAATTTCTTGTCCACCCGTATTTCAAATTTCAATATATTATAATATTATAGTTTATAGCACAGCATAATATTATTATATTATTACGTATTCGTGCATTACGTGCTTTCATTATTTCGAAGAGACGAGCATTATCCGTTTCACAGGATTTGCGTTTGGAATAAATTTCGTACAACTGTACAAGATAATGTCCGTGTAGTTTATTAAAAAAAAAAAAATATGTTGAACACATTATAACGATCGTTTATAAATTTATACGTTGCACCAGCCCAGCCCATTCTGAAAATCAAAATGTTTTTTGCACAAATATTTAGCACGTAATTAGCATGCATTTGAACGACCAAAATTAGAATTCGCACTAAATTATTCAACGAGCTACATCCAGTTTCTTGTTTTTGCCGTTGCACCAGC